TACTGAAACTTTACCCCGAGCTGCACTCGGGAATACCGCCAGGGGGGTTAATGAACCACTTTCGATATAAAAAACGGCATGAGTTATTTTAGCTCAAAAATTCATGCAGTATTTATCTCAGTGACTCCCCTATAACCTGCTATCCATCTGTTTTTGACTGGACTGCATGTGGTGTGAACCAGCCCTTAAAGCGAAGTTCCATCTGAGAAAAAAAAAAAAAAAAACTGTAGCTGCTGACTTTTAAGATACAGCCACTTACCTGCTCCTCGGTCCAGCGGTGTCCTCACCATGGCTAGTTTCACCGGCCATCTATTCTCCCTGGCGCCGGCATCTTTAGTGTGGGCAAGCTGCTGTGGCAGCTTCCCACTGCACATGTGCGAGAAGCTCTGCACTTTGTGAATGGCCTCGTAGTGTTCTGGGACTTGTCACGTGTCCCAGAAGACTACAAGGAGGGAGGACAACTTTCGCTTCCGAATCGCATAGGCGATTGCAGCACAAGTGGGAGCGGGTACCTGTCAAATTCGGGTACCCACTCCCCAAAGCAGCCAATCCTTAATGGGGAGCGGGGGACAAAAGGCGTAAAGCAGAACTTCCCCTTTTGGGTGGAGCTCCGCTTTAAAGCAGATCTTCACTCTGGAAAAAAATGTAAAAGTCAGCAGCTACTTACCTGTCCAGGGATCCAGAGCTGTGCTCAACCGGGCAAGTTGTGCACTAGCCTTCGGGTTCCCAGTGCCGGCATCCTAACTGTGGGCAGCCAGCTACGCTGCTTTCAGCTTCACAGCCGGCTGCCTGCTGCAGTGAGCTTTGTGAGTGGTTGCGCAGTCTTCTGTGACCTGGGGGGGGGGGGGGGGGGGGGTTTAGAACTTACACCCAGAGCCAAAACTAGGTACCTGTTCGTCCAAAAAAATGATATGCCACAATTACTAGAGGAGGACGTATAGCGGAACTTGCCCTTTTGGGTGAATTTGCGCTTTAGGCAGAACCGCACTGCCAAACAGTCTACTAAGATGTCATCTCATCCGTTTCATACATTCCATTTTCATCATTGTATGACTTACAAGAACCTATTTGTCAAAATTTCTCAATGTCCCCAAAATGTAGCTGATCCTATACCAAGTGTACCGTGTAAAAGAAAGCTCAGAATATCCAACGTGTAAATACCTACATTTAAAAATATAATTACACAGCACTTTATTTTTTAATGTTTGGTGGGTCTCTTCTACAAATATATGTTGAGCTCCTAAATACTTCTCAATAAATAATTAAATTATTACCATTAAATTAAAATTATGATACAAATAACTAATAAAAGTGTATAAATACCAAAAAATATTTAAATAGATAGTTTCAACTAATCAATCTCCTCCAAATAAATATCAAAATAATTCCACATGAAATACTCCTCTACAAAAAATTTTTTTCAAGTGCTCATAAATCATCTATTAGTGACATGATGTACTTACTAATACCCTCAATTTCATTTAAATTCACAATACCCTCATTTAATATAATAAAAATAGTAAACCAACTAATAACCCTCAACTAAAACGCATTTAGATGATCCCCCATAGATAAAAATAACCAAATGCTCATAAATAATTAATAGTGACTAGTAGGAATCCAAATATCAAAATAATAGTCCCATTGGTGGGTCTTTTACCTTATGAACAGCAGCGTTCATTAGTTGAAGTAAAGATTAAAGAAAAGAAAAAAAAAACAAAAAAAAAAACAAACACATTTTTATAGGTGCGGGTTAATTTAGATATAATTTTTTGAAATGCATACATTCGCCTGTAGCGTCAATGCTGCTCAATGTACACCGACCTAGTCTGATCGATGGCAACCTGCTAGACAATGCATCTACTGGTTACCAAGCAACAGAACAGAGCAGAAAAAAAAAAATATTAAAAACATAAGGCACACATGAAAAAAAAAAATACTTCCAAGTCTCTCAGCATAAGGACAATTAAGCAACAAGAAACAAAAAAAAAAACGCATTTATTGTACAAAAACACAGAACACCGGGGCAAACGTCTCCGTTGCAAATCGGGACGGACGTGCGCAGCTCTTTTCCGTTTTACTGGAGCTGATGTTTTTTTTTTTTTTTTTTTTCCTCTGACACAAAAACAAGCAATTTCCAGCGATGCAAACTTCCCCGTCTTACATAACACACTCTACAGGAATGTATGCCTTTCCACTAGGGACCTACAGACATGCTGGTTTCCAGTACCAAAGTAGTTCTAGTTTTCCTCTTCTAATTGGCTCAACGAGCTTTACAGGTATCCAATGAAGGACTAGTATCTATGGGCAGGGTTAGTCTAAAAAAAAAAAAAAAAAAAAAAAAAAAAAAAAAAAAAAAGTCAGCTGTGCTGTCTCAGCAGCAGCAGTACCCATAATACCACTATGCACACAGCTGACTACACACAGCTGCCAGCAGCCGGTTCTCGGTTGGCAAGGAAACCGGAGAACTCCTCCCTGTAGGAGACGGCAAAAAGGAAGAATCTGCAGCAGCAAAACCTCCTGGATACTGAGCTGCATGTTAAAATGTTTACATCCTGGGATCTGCATGCGAAGACTCCGCTTTGTCTAAGCAGAAATGGTGACGTCAAATAACTGCAGCGAGAGACGGATCCCTACGGGAAGGTCCTTCCTCATCAGGAGGTTCAAAAGATCACTAAATCAACACAACACATCCAGCTTGAGGGAAGACCCCCAAAAAGTGTGAACTGTGATAACCCATGAGTGTGACAAAAATGCCATTTTATTTCAGGCACTTATATAGCGCCGTCAATTTACACAGCAATTTACATATATATTGTATATTCACATCAGTCCCTAACCCTCAAGGGGGTACAATCCAAGGTCCCCAACCCTCAAGGAGCGTACAATCCAAGGTCCCCAACCCTCAAGGAGCGTACAATCCAAGGTCCCCAACCCTCAAGGAGCATACAATCTAAGGTCCCCAACCCTCAAGGGGCGTACAATCCAAGGTCCCCAACCCTCAAGGGGCGTACAATCCAAGGTCCCCAACCCTCAAGGGGCGTACAATCCAAGGTCCCCAACCCTCAAGGGGCGTACAATCCAAGGTCCCCAACCCTCAAGGGGCGTACAATCTAAGGTCCCCAACCTTTAAGGGGCCTACAATCCAAGGTCCCCAACCCTCAAGGGGCGTACAATCCAAGGTCCCCAACCCTCAAGGGGCGTACAATCCAAGGTCCCCAGCCCTAAGGGGCGTACAATCCAAGGTCCCTAACCCTCAAGGGGCGTACGATCCAAGGTCCCCAACCTTTAAGGGGCCTACAATCCAAGGTCCCTAACCCTCAAGGGGCGTACAATCCAAGGTCCCTAACCCTCAAGGGGCATACAATCCAAGGTCCCTAACCCTCAAGGGGCGTACAATCCAAGGTCCCCAACCTTTAAGGGGCCTACAATCCAAGGTCCCTAACCCTCAAGGGGCGTACAATCTAAGGTCCCTAGCCCTCAAGGAGCGTACAATCTAAGGTCCCTACAATCTAAGGCCATAGACAGCTCGAAGACCGGCCGTTTTTTCGTATGATAAACGAAATATCGGTCGGTCGTTAAACCGACGTAACCTTCAATTACAAAAATCGGCCGACCAAGTTATAAAGTTCACCCCATATAACAGGCAAAACTTCTGTTCCTTCCAGGTCACAGCTCATGCGCGTATTTTTTTTCGTAAAAATGATCATACGATTTGACCATCATTGATGCGAAAATCGGTAGTTTTCCACGAATTTTCCAACATGACCGATAATCCAAAAGCAGAAAAAAACCCCGAAAACCGGCCAATTAATTCACCAACAATGCGAAAATCGGCCAATTAATCTTTCGGACAAAAAAAAAAAAAAATATGGACGATTTTCGAACCGTCTATAGCCGGCATTACCCTCAAGGAGTGTACAATCCAAGGTCCCCAACCCTCAAGGGGCGTACAATCTAAGGTCCCTAACCCTCAAGGGGCGTACAATCTAAGGTCCCTAACTCACATTCATACATACACATACTAGGGACAATTTAGACAGGAGCCAATTCACCTACCAGCATGTCTTTGGAGTGTGGGAGGAAACCGGAATAACCGGAGGAAACCCACGCTGGCACAGGGAGAACATGCAAACTCCAGGCAGGTGGTGCCATGCTTGGGATTCGAACCAATGACCTAGTACTGCCAGGCAGAAGTGTTGACCATTTAGCCACTGTGCTGACTTTAACATGAAGGGTTTTTTTTTCCACACATTAGTTTAAATGTAGGACCGACACAGACAACCCCAACATTGACTGCTTCTGATTGGATGCAGTCACTATCCATCTGACAATTTTACACCCTGCGCCTCTGACTAAAGAGATCCGATGAATCGGACGAAATTCAAGCAGTGCAAGATCAACTTAAATCAGTCTGTAGATGCAGTAAAGCATGCTTCTTACACTCACTGTGGAACCTAAGGGGTCAATCTTTTGCATTATGCAATAAGACTGTTTGATCCTGTGTTCTCTGATCCTCCCCCCTCTACTGTCCTCAATTCATCTGATAGTACGGAGCCCTAAGAGGAACTCTGAACATGCTCAGTTTAGTGTGTATCAATAGAGTGCTTTTGGAGAAGGGTGCATGTGATCAGCACAGGACCAATCAGCACCGTGCAGAGGGTCACGGGTCATGCAGTCTCATAAGACAGTCAGAGGAGAATGAAAACTCCACCCACAAGATTAACCAGTGTTTGGGCCAGACACTGACAGAAGTCACAAGACTGCTCTATACTGCTGATGAGGAAAGGTGGTTTGCTGTTTAAATTTACTAAAATAATTGCATTTCCATGTTCTGTGTACTGTGGAAGACTGGATATAGCGAATGCGGGGTCCGGGGAGAGCGGCTATAGCGAATGCGGGGTCCGGGGAGAGCGGCTATAGCGAATGCCGGGTCCGGGGAGAGCGGCTATAGCGAATGCCGGGTCCGGGGAGAGCGGCTATAGCGAATGCCGGGTCCGGGGAGAGCGGCTATAGCGAATGCCGGGTCCGGGGAGAGCGGCTATAGCGAATGCCGGGTCCGGGGAGAGAGGCTATAGCGAATGCAGGGTCCGGGGAGAGAGGATATAGCGAATGCAGGGTCCGGGGAGAGAGGATATAGCGAATGCCGGGTCCGGGGAGAGAGGATATAGCGAATGCCGGGTCCGGGGAGAGAGGATATAGCGAATGCCGGGTCCGGGGAGAGCGGCTATAGCGAATGCAGGGTCCGGGGAGAGCGGCTATAGCGAATGCAGGGTCCGGGGAGAGCGGCTATAGCGAATGCAGGGTCCGGGGAGAGCGGCTATAGCGAATGCAGGGTCCGGGGAGAGCGGGTATAGCGAATGCCGGGTCCGGGGAGAGCGGGTATAGCGAATGCCGGGTCCGGGGAGAGCGGGTATAGCGAATGCCGGGTCCGGGGAGAGCGGGGGTATAGCGAATGCCGGGTCCGGGGAGACCGGGTATAGCGAATGCCGGGTCCGGGGAGAGCGAGTATAGCGAATGCCGGGTCCGGGGAGAGCGAGTATAGCGAATGCCGGGTCCGGGGAGAGCGAGTATAGCGAATGCCGGGTCCAGGGAGAGCGAGTATAGCGAATGCCGGGTCCGGAGAGAGCGAGTATAGATAGTGAATGCTGGGTCCGGGGAGAGCGGATATAGTGAATGCAGGGTCCGGGGAGACCGGATATAGTGAATGCAGGGTCCGGGGAGACCGGATATAGTGAATGCAGGGTCCGGGGAGACCGGATATAGTGAATGCAGGGTCCGGGGAGAGCGGATATAGTGAATGCAGGGTCCGGGGAGAGAGCGGATATAGTGAATGCAGGGGTCCGGGGAGAGCGGATATAGTGAATGCGGGGTCCGGAGAGAGCGGATATAGTGAATGCGGGGTCCGGAGAGAGCGGATATAGTGAATGCGGGGTCCGGGGAGACCGATATAGTGAATGCGGGGTCCGGGGAGACCGGATATAGTGAATGCGGGGTCCGGGGAGATCGGATATAGTGAATGCGGGGTCCGGGGAGATCGGATATAGTGAATGCGGGTCCGGGGAGATCGGATATAGTGAATGCAGGGTCCGGGGAGATCGGATATAGTGAATGCAGGGTCCGGGGAGATCGGATATAGTGAATGCAGGGTCCGGGGAGATCGGATATAGTGAATGCAGGGTCCGGGGAGACCGGATATAGTGAATGCAGGGTCCGGGGAGACCGGATATAGTGAATGCAGGGTCCGGGGAGACCGGATATAGTGAATGCAGGGTCCGGGGAGACCGGATATAGTGAATGCAGGGTCCGGGGAGACCGGATATAGTGAATGCAGGGTCCGGGGAGACCGGATATAGTGAATGCAGGGTCCGGGGAGACCGGATATAGTGAATGCAGGGTCCGGGGAGACCGGATATAGTGAATGCAGGGTCCTGGGAGACCGGATATATAGTGAATGCAGGGTCCGGGGAGACTGGATATAGTGAATGCAGGGTCCGGGGAGACTGGATATAGTGAATGCAGGGTCCGGGGAGACTGGATATAGCGAATGCAGGGTCCTGGGTTTAGTAAGACTCAAGCCTAACTTCAGATTTACTGTGTCTGACCCAAGCTGGTCCAAACTATTTATACTCATAGTACATTAAGGCTCTAAAGCCTCAGTTCATTCTAGAATTCAGTGCGGGAAACCTGCTATCCGCACGGGATTACGTAAATGTGGTTTCATATCTGTTTGAGCAGAGTTCCCCTGCAGCTGCTGTCACATTCAAAATCGGAGCGGCTGTATGGGGTTCCGCCCACACAGCCAAGTCATTCATTCCCAGCAATCTGTGAAAGAAGAAACTACAAGTCCCATCTTCCAACATGACATCTGCGTGTGTAGTTCTCAATAGGGCTGATGAGCACCCACGGACACTTCTTCCAAATGCTTTCCAGGCGCCTGTATATCCGCTCTCCCCGGACCCGGCATTCACTATATCCAGTCTCCCCGGACCCGGCATTCACTATATCCACTCTCCCCGGACCCCGCATTCACTATATCTGGTCTCCCACAGTGCAATATTTTAGTAAATATAAACTGCTAAAAACCTTTTCTTAGCAGGATATAGCAGTCTTGTGACTTCTATCAGTGTTCAGCAGAACACTGGTTAAAGCTTGCAGTTTTTTTTTCTGCTCTAGGAGGATGCAGAACCCCTGATCTCTGTCTGGACAGTGCAGATTGCATGTGATCAGCACAGGGTCACTCTCCCAAGAACAAAAACCTCTCTAGCAATACACACTAAGCTGAGCATGTGTAGAATGGCTATGGTTCAGTCTGTCTTATCAGGAGATAAGATGGACACTTGAACAAGAGGAGGAGCAGAGAAGTCGGGATCAAAAGGCCTTTTTACACCATGTGGAGGATTAACCCCTTAGGTTCCACAGAGTATATCCAGCATGCTTTACTGCTTATACAGACTGATTTTTACTGTTTTGGATTTAGCAACACTAAAAGGGATGGTTGGCAGGTGGCAAAAACACAGCTCACATTTTTAGCCCTCCAATCTCCAATCTAAACAAAGCCTTTCAACACAAGTCACCGTTTAAAATTTTTTTCAAAACTTTATTGAAAAGTCACAGAATGACATTCATTTATTTCCAGGTACCACAGCTGTGCAATGCACCGGTATTAGGTGAGACGCAAAAAAAACGTCTGCATTTTAAAACACACCACAACCCACCCCAGCACACCAGTGTGGTGTGAAACAGGGCACACAGAAAACAATTGATACCTATATGCCTTGGCAGCTTAAAAGAAATGGTGCAAACATACCCTACAATGGCTGAACTCTCTCATGCAGGACCTGTGGCTCCATGGGGTGCAGGACAGCACTAGGAAAATTTATGCTACGCATCTAAAATGCCTATAAATGTCCATACACATGAACCCCGATGTCTGTCCTGGTGTTTTCTCTACTCCCCAAAAAACTGGCAGCAGCTAGGGAATGGCTAAATCATGGGATTTGTTGAACCTTGCATTATGGTTACATGTGTGCATCTAAATATTTGTGTAAAAAGCTAACTAGAAGGTCTTATTCACAGAAGATACACAATAGTAGAGTTAGGGACCTTAGATTGTACGCCCCTTGAGGGTTAGGGACCTTAGATTGTACGCCCCTTGAGGGTCAGGGACCTTAGATTGTACGCCCCTTGAGGGTCAGGGACCTTAGATTGTACGCCCCTTGAGGGTCAGGGACCTTAGATTGTACGCCCCTTGAGGGTTAGGGACCTTAGATTGTACGCCCCTTGAGGGTTAGGGACCTTAGATTGTACGCCCCTTGAGGGTTAGGGACCTTAGATTGTACGCCCCTTGAGGGTTAGGGACCTTAGATTGTACGCCCCTTGAGGGTTAGGGACCTTAGATTGTACACCCTTGAGGGTTAGGGACCTTAGATTGTACGCCCCTTGAGGGTTAGGGACCTTAGATTGTACACCCCTTGAGGGTTAGGGACCTTAGATTGTACACTCCTTGAGGGTTAGGGACTGATGTGAATGTACAATATATATGTAAAGCGCTGTGTAAATTGACGTCGGTATACAAGTACCTGAAATAAATAAGTAGCAGATTATTCATAAAATCCACTGTCTGGATAGCAGACATGTCCCGTCACCCGTACCATAACTAGGTCATTGCAAAAAGGTATATTTATGTAGAGATACAGGATGCAAGAAACTCTTGGCCAAACAACATAAACAGTTCTAAATAGATACAAACATCCTACAGTACTCCAAGTTTTACAGCTACAATTGCTCAGAAAGATCAGAAGAGCAGGATGCTTCATAGCAGATACAGCAGAGCGCACAACTAACACCATGCCAAAGAAGGCAACTAAGGACTGAGCACATGGGATCTAGGCAGAGCTTCAAAGTATATTTATAGCACGTGAACTAAAAATACACGCCCCATTTTAAAGTTAAGGAATTGCACGCACAAGTCAAGAGAAAAAGATCAAACACTTGTCATTTGCCTGATCCTAATGGAATCATGTAAAACACTCTTATAGGCAACACAAATATAGCCTTTTCCATCTGAGATCCTCAAACCAACATAAGAGTTAATCCATGCAAGTACATATCTGGACAGTGAACTCATTTAAAAATAATTATTATACAGGATTTATATATTATTATTATACAGGATTTATATATTATTATTATTATACAGGATTTATATATTATTATTATACAGGATTTATATATTATTATTATTATTATACAGGATTTATATATTATTATTATACAGGATTTATTATTCTACATGATTTATATATTATTCAGAATTTATTATTATTATTATTATACAGGATTTATATATTATACAGGATTTATATATTATTATACAGGATTTATATACTATTATTATTATTATTATACAGGATTTATATATTATTATACAGGATTTATATATTATTATTATTATAATACAGGATTTATATATTATTATTCTACAGGATTTATATATTATTATTCTACAGGATTTATATATTATACAGAATTTTTTATTATTATACAGAATTTTTTATTATTATACAGGATTTATATATTATACAGGATTTATATATTATACAGAATTTATATATTATACAGAATTTATTATTATACAGAATTTATTATTATACAGAATTTATTATTATACAGGATTTATATATTATTATACAGGATTTATATATTATATTCAGGATTTATATATTATTATTATTATACAGGATTTATATATTATTATTATACAGGATTTATATATTATTATTATTATACAGGATTTATATTATTATTATTATACAGGAATTATATATTATTATTATACAGGAATTATATATTATTATTATACAGGATTTATATGGCACCAACAGTTTGCTCAGCGCTTTACAAAATAAATGGGAGACAATACAGCTCAATACAAGAGGGTTATCCTCGTAGCTTACAATCTAGAAAAAAAAAAAAAAAAGGAACCGCACACGGTAGGAAAAACTATAATACTTATTTTAATCGATTTACGGAAAAGAAAGCCAATCTCTAAATAAGAGTTCTGGTAAGAAGTATTTATTTGCTCTGACCCAGTTCTGGATCAGCCAATCAGTGGAGGAGTGATGGGCCGTGATGTGACTCTGCACCCACAAACATTCGCAGTGACCGCAGGGTGGGCTTCTGTAACATCAAAAAAACTGAAAAACTCCTATAAAAAAAAGTCAGTAAATGCAACTGCATCTTAGAAAAGTCAGAAAAAACATCTAGCAACTTTTTGAGGATTTTTTTTAATGTCCTACATCCTGCTCATTTCAGCCAACTGGGCATTATTTGTTACAAGTATTTATACAGCGCTGTCAATTCACGCAGCACTTTACATATATATTGTACATTCACATCAGTCCCCGCCCCCGAGGAGCGTACAATCTAAGGTCCCTAACTCACATTCATACATATACATACTAGGGGCAATTTAGACAGGAGCCAATTCACCTCCCAGCAGGTCTTTGGAGTGTCGGAGGAAACCAGAATACCCGGAGGAAACCCACACAGGCACAGGGAGAACATGCAAACTCCAGGCAGGTGGTGCCATGCTTGGGATTCGAACCAACAACCCTAGCACTGCCAGGCAGAAGTGCTGACCAGTATTATTATTATTATTATACAGGATTTATGGCGCCAACGGTTTGCTCAGCGCTTTACATTATAGTGGGAGACAATACAACAACAATACAGTTCAATGCAAGAGGGAATTGAGGGCCCTGCTCCTTGGAGCTTACAATCTAGGAGCCAATTAACCTGCCAGCATGTCTTTGGAGTGTGGGAGGAAACCAAAGTACCTGGAGGAAACCCACAGGCACAGGGAGAACATGCAAACTCCAGGCAGGAGGTGTTGTAGTTGGGATTTGAACCAACGACCCTACTACTGCGAAGCGGAAGTGCTAGCCACTTCGCCACTGCGCTCATTTATGTGAAGCGTATGCATTAGTGCCCTACGTGAGGGCCCTGTACACCTATACAGGGATGTACAGATGTTCCATCTAACCCAGGGGTGTCAAACTGGCGACCCTCCAGCTGTTGCAAAACTAAAAGTCCCATCATGCCTCTGCCTTTGGGAGTCATGTTTTTAACTGCCAATCTTGCAATGCCTCATGGGACTTGTAGTTTGGCAACAGCTGGAGGGCCTCCAGTTTGACACCCATGGTCTAACCCCATGCAGGCAGTCTCATTGAAGCAAATTGGGACGCAGCGGCGGCACAAATGCAGGCGCTGTTCCCAATGCGACGTGTGCAGGTGCAATCAGGTCAGTGCGCCCATACAGATGTTATATTGGAAGCAGCAGCT